TTCTGAGACAAGGTTTCTCTGTGTAGCTTTGCGCTTTTCCTGGAACTCACTCTGTAGCCCAGGCTGGCCTTGAACTCACAGAGATCCACCTTCCTCTGCCTCCCAAGTGCTGGGATTAAAGGCATGCGCCACCACCGTCCGGCATAAACATTTTTTTTAAAGAAATAAATCTTTAAAAAAAAAAATTAAACCACTAGAACCATCCAGCCCAAATTTCATTTCTCTTTCATCTGTTTACTTATGTACTATGCTTGTCCACCTCCCTTAGAAACAGGGAAAATGTTATAAAGGAGTAGGCATTAGCTGTCTTTTGGGGGAAGAGCTGTGCAAGTGTTCCAGAGATCACAGAGGAGAGAGGTGGGTGGAGCAAGGAGTTTTGTTTAGGACACACCCATGAGATGTGGACACACTGAGATGCTGAGATCTGGCCCTGGAGGCAATGTACTGTATTTAAAAGGTTTGAGGTGGGCATGATGAGATAAGCCTGTAAACTCAGCATTTTGGGCAGGAATCATAAATTCAAGGCAAGCCTAGGCTATACAGTAAGCTCCTATCCCCCCAAAATGTCAAGCTTTATCTAAGAAAAAAATATATATAAAGAGGAGTCAGGGACAGCAGTGCACACTTGTAATCCCAGCACCCCAAACTTGGAAGAGGCAGAAGGGTCAGGAGTCCAAGGTCATCAGCTACAGAGCAAGTTCAAGGCTAACTTGAGTTACATAGACTATATCTCAAAAAAAAAGAGTGTGTGTGTGTGTGTGTGTGTGTGTGTGTGTGTGTGTGTGTGTGTATTACATGAAGAGGGTTAAGGACAAGAGCCCAGGGATAACCAAACAAAAGTGGAACACAGTACAGGATCAGGAAGCAAACACTGAGAAGGAACGCTCATTCGGACAGGAGCAGGAAAAACAGTACCATGTACCACTACTACACAGGAATGTGTGTTGGCAGGGACACACAACAGGAGCTTTCTCAAACATATAAAGCTATTCAAACTACTGAGGAATGGGGATATAGTTCAGTGGTGGAGTGACCACCTAACATACCCAAGACCTTGATTAGACTCTCTAGCACCCTACACCATCCCCATCCCAACCCCCATAAAGACACAGAGAGAAATTACAAAGGAAGCTATATGGATGTCACTTTTTTTTGTTTGTTTGTTGTTCTTGTTGTTTGAGACAGGGTCTCTCTGTGTAGCTCTGGTTGTCCTGGAACTCACTCTGCAGACCAGCCTGGCCCCAACCTCACAGAGATCTGCCTGCCTCTACCTCAGTGCTGGGACTAAAGGTGTGTGCCATTACCACCTGGCCAGAAGTCACTTCTTAAAATTCACAATTCCACAATGCTTTCTTTGGGGGCAGTTTGATGTCAGACCCTTTATTTAATAATCACAGGCATGTAAGGAGAAGACAGCATGCCACTGGCCACTTATCCCAGGCCTGTGTTCGTCTGACACTGAAACTCAGTCCTCCAGGGAAGCCCTTTAAAACATCAAGTAAACGACAAAACAGCTTCAGGAAGTCCCTGAAACTGATCAGATTCACTAGGCCCCTCCCTTCCCAAGAGTATATAAGCAATAAAGACCACCTCGAGTGAGTCTCAGCCAAGCCCAGCTCCATGGAAGAAACAGAGACCAACTGAGCCACCTGAAAAGGATACTCTCCAACCTGTTCAGCTGCCTGCAGACACTCCAGGTTTCTGGCTTTTGTGACTGTCACCCATGCTAGGGCTGGGCTTTGGTAAAGATGCAGCTGTCTTTGAGTCATTTCTGTTCCTGTAAGTTACCCCTCCCATACCCCTGCAAATAACTCCAATAAAATTCATTGGTTCACCAAGTTGGACTTGGTGTATCCATACTTCAGTCTGTCGTCAGTTCCCTATCTGGGGTGAGTAGATATTTATTCATGTCTCCCCAATAAGCCCTCCTCCTGGTTCACTCTCATACGCCCCTCCTTCTAGGATCCAAACTCACCTTCTGAGGAGTTAAGATGACTTTATATTTTCTAACTCGGCCCGCCAGTTTGTCAGCATTGACAAGATCTATAGAGAGAAGGAGTGCCGCCCAGCAAGCCATGGGCATCTGTTAGACAAGAAACAAGGAAGCAGAACTTCTCTCCCCTTCCTGATGCCCCTCCCCACCCTTCCCGCCAAGATCTTGCTTTGTAGCACAGGCCAGCTTCAACCTGGATTCTTTCTGCCTAGGCCTCCCAAGTGCAGGGGTTATAAATGCACAGCACTCTGCGCAGCAGGCCTTTTCTTATGGAAGGGTCCTTGTGGCCAAGGCGCTTCTAACCCGCCCACCTTTCCCTGCTCTTAGCTCCACAGAGTACCACGGCTCACTTACTAGCAATGTAGCGCATATTCTTGATGCGGGGTCTGACCAAGAAGCACAATCTGTGGATGAGAAAGAAACAGGGGAAAGCCAGGAAAAATCATGAAGATGGTGATAGAATCTAAGAAAAAATTAAAATGAAAACAAGTCTTTAATCATTTGCCTTTGTTTGTTTGTTTGTTTTTTTGGTTTTTCGAGACAGGGTTTCTCTGTGTAGTTTTGGAGCCTGTCCTGGATCTCACTCTGTAGACCAGGCTGGCCTCGAACTCACAGAGATCTGCCTGGCTCTGCCTCCTGAGTGCTGGAATTAAGGGTGTGTGCCACCACCGCCCAGCACTCATTTGCCCTTCTTGACCAGGCCTACAGATCTCTGAGCTACCATGTACCACCCACAGAAGCCATTCCTCATTACAACAGGTACAATGTGATGATATGAGTGTCTTATTGGCTCTATGGTAGATCCAGGAGTTCCTGTTCTTAAAAAATTGGTAATTCAATGGCTAAAATTGTGTGTGTGTGTGTGTGTATTCAATCAAGTACTAAAAATAGGAACTGGAATGTGTGCATGTATTTTCCATGTATCTAGACATTTTCCCTCTGAGGAAAAGTATACACTACTCAAGTTTGGGAAACATTTAAAACAAATCAAAGGGCTGGAGACATAGTGCAATGGTAGAACACCTGCTCAAAGTCCTGGTTTGATCTCCAGCACCACAGACTGTGATTGTGTGACATGTAGACAGGACAACACAAAATACCCTGGAAATCTAGAGAAGAAAATTTAAAAACCTGGCCTGGAAGGAAGCTTCGTGGAAGAGTAGGGCTGGCCTGAAGACGGGGTGTGCTTTATAGGAGTAAAGGACAGGAGAGAACTTTAGGCAGAGTGACCAGAGCGGCACATTCTGAGATATGTGTGGAAGCACATGTCAACAGAGGCTTGAAAGGACATACGAGGAACCAGACTATATGGGGAGCGTCAAGGCCTTGGAATCTAGGATGCTCAACTGGACTACATCCAATAAATAATGTAAAGTCTTGGACCTTTTTCCCTTTTAACACGTGTGTATGTGTGTGTGTGTGTGTGTGTGTGTGTGTGTACATGTGCCACAGCTTGTGTGGAGGTCAG